CTGGCGGTTAACACCCACCGCTGAAGGGGTCCAAAAAATTATAAAGGGGGTCAGATTTTCACTTAAGGGAGGTCAAATTAATTTCGGGGTGCCAAGAATGCCCTGGCTGTTAGGACCCACCGCTCTAGGGGTCCAAAGATTATAAAAGGGGTTGGATTCTCACTTAAGGGGGGTCAAATTAATTTCGGGGTGCGAAGAAAAGCCTGGGGGTCAGGACCCACCGCTCTGGGTGTCCAAAAATTATAAAGGGGGTCGGATTTCAACTTAAGTGTTGTCAAATTAATTTCGGTGTGCCAAGAATACCCTGGCGGTTAGGACCCACTGCTATGGGGGTCCAAAAATTATAAAGGGGGTCGGATTTTCATTTAAGAGGGGTCAAATTAATTTCGGGGTGCCAAAAATGCCCTGGCGGTTAGGAACCACCGCTCTAGGGGTCCAAAGATTATAAAGTGGGTCGGATTCTCACTTAAAGGGGGTCCAATTAATTTCGGGGTGCGACGAAAAGCCTGGGGGTTCGGACCCACTTCTAAAGGGGTCCAAAAATTAGAAAGGGGGTCGGATTCTCACTTAAGGGGGTTCAAATTAATTTCGGGGTGCCAAGAATGCCCTGGCCGTTGACACCCACCGCTAAAGGGGTCCAAGAATTATAAAGGGGGTCAAATTTTCACTTAAGGGAGGTCAAATTAATTTCGGGGTGCCAAGAATGCCCTGGCAGTGAGGACCCACCGCTAAAGGGGTCCAAAAATTATAAAGGGGTTCGGATTTCAACTTAAGGGGGGGTCAAATTAATTTCGGGGTGCCAAGAACACCCTGGCGGTTAGGACCCACCGCTCTGGTGGTCCAAAAATTATAAAGGGGGTCGGATTTTCACTTAAGGGGGATCAAATTAATTTCGGGGTGCCAAAAATGCCCTGGCGGTTAGGACCCACCGCTCTAGGGGTCCAAAGATTATAAAGGGGGTCGGATTCTCACTTAAGGGGGGTCCAATTAATTTCGGGGTGTGAAGAAAAGCCTGGGGGTTAGGACCCACCGCTAAAGGGGTCCAAAATTTATAAAGGGGGTCGGATTTCAACTTAAGGGGGGTCAAATTAATTTCGGGGTGCCAAGAATACCCTGGCGGTTAGCACCCACCACTAAAGGGGTCCAAAAATTATAAAGGGGGTGGGATTTCAACTTAAGGGGGGTCAAATTAATTTCGGGGTGCCAAGAATACGCTGGCGGTTAGCACCCACCGCTAAAGGGGTCCAAAAATTATAAAGGGGGTCGGATTTCAACTTAAGGGGGGTGACATTAATTTCGGGGTGCCAAGAATACCCTGGCGGTTAGCACCCACCGTTAAAGGGGTCCAAAAATCATGAAGGGGGTCGGATTTCAACTTAAGGGTGATCAAATTGATTTCGGGGTGCCAAGAATACCCTGGCGGTTAACACCCACCGCTAAAGGGGTCCAAAATTTATAAAGGGGTTCGGATTTCAACTTAAGGGGGGTCAAACTAATTTCGAGGTGCGAAGAATACCCTGGCAGTTAGGACCCATCGCTATAGGGGTCCAAAAATTATAAAGGGGGTCGGATTTTAACTTAAGGGGGGTCAAGTTAATTTCGGGGTGCCAAGAATACCCTGGTGGTTAGGACCCACCGCTAAAGGGGTCCAAAAATTATAAAGGGGGTCGGACTTCAACTTCAGGGGGGTCAAATTAATTTCGGGGTGCCAAGAATACCCTGTCGGTTAGGACCCACCGCTACAGGGGTCCAAAAATTATAAAGGGGGTTGGATTCTCACTTAAGAGACGTCAAATTAATTTCGGGGTGCGAAGAAAAGCCTGAGGGCTAGGACCAACTGCTTTAGCGGTCCAAAAATTATAAAGGGGGTCGGATTTCAACTTAAGGGGGGTCATCTTGATTTCCGGGTGCGAAGAATACCCTGGCGGTTAGGACCCAACGCTATAGGGGTCCAAAAATTATAAAGGGGGTCGGATTTGAACTTAAGGGGGGTCAAATTAATATCGGGGTGCAAAGAATACCCTGGCAGTTAGGACCTACCGCATTAGCGGTCCAAAAATCATAAAGGGGGTCGGATTCTAATTGAGGGGGGGGCAAATTAATTTCGGGGCGAGAAGAATAGCCTGGTGGTTAGGACCCACCGCTAAAGGGGTCCAAAATTTATAAAGGGGGTTGGATTTCAACTTAAGGGGGGTCACATGAATTTCGGGGTGCCAATAATACCCTGGCGGTTAGGACCCACCGCTACAGGGGTCCAAAATTTATAAAGGGGGTCGGATTTTAACTTAAGGGGGGTGAAATTAATTTCGGGGTGCCAAGAATACCCTGGCGGTTTAGTTCACAACAGTGTCTGGATCGACATTTCGTCCAAGATCGACAGATTGCCTAGTTCACAACAATGTCTGGATCGACATTTCGAAGCCCTGACAACAGTTTGTGAAGGAAGCGGAGGTTGGGCATCAATACATCCGGCAATGGCTAGAATTTTTTTTTATCAAAAGACATCGTCTTTTTGAAACCCTTCTCTACAAAATGATGCGCGGGGTCGGGAGCAACCGAAACTGATCTTGTGCAACCGTATATGTGTAGCACAAATTATTTGTTAGAGTCCGGAGGGCTAAGCCAAGGTTGTTTTCAGGATTCCGGACAGTGTCATGTGTCGGCCGGCTCGTTCCCTTAATGCCAGCGGGATTGCATAAATAAAAGTCGAAGTCGGTAAGATGACAAATCTTCTAGTCCACAACAGTGTCTGACAAATCCCCTTCTCTACTAAATGATGTGCGGGGTCCGGAGCAACTGAAACTGATCTTGTGCAACCGCATACGTATAGCACAAATTATTTGTTAGAATCTGGAGGGCATCTGAGCCAAGGTTGTTTTCATCTTGGAAAGACATGATCGACCCAATATGATGAAAGACGACGGTGCAAGCATTCTTTCTGTTCTGGAGGCAGTTGCTTAGAAGGTAGAGCTTAGAGAGGCAGGTCCTCCAAAACCACAGGGTTGAACTTGCTATCGCGAGGTGTGTGCCTAGACTCCTCGGTATGCGGTGTTTAAAAGGATGGTCACATTCTTATATTATTCTTGGCAGAGATCATAATACAGGTTACCGTGCCTCTAACGTCGCGGTCAGGGTGTCGAAGGCATTGGACAATGATTTAAATGTAATACTTCATGTTGGCAGCCGTAGAGATGAAGAGGAGAAATACGATAAGGAAGAGTAAGAGGACAAAGAGGATGAAGAGGGTTCTTCCAGAGCGAGGGCTGGGTAGATATAGCAGTTCGGGTGTTGGAAGGCGAAAACCTTTGGAAACCAAGACCGCAGCCGATCTCGAGCTTCACGTGTGTGCCCTTCGCTCAACACAAAAACTTTATAACCACCGGACAACAATCTCTGCTCGTCAACTGCGTCAACAGTGCTTGCTTCCTTAGGGTCGATCAGACCAATAAAAGGAAAACGCGACATTCCTGGGGTATGCGACGCTTCTGACTTCCTCGTCGAACCCATATTGCTGGGCTCTACATATGCCAGGCTGATGTGACATTCCAGTATTTCCCGCAAGTCGTCCCTTGATAGTGAGCCCGCTACGCCTCTGGATGATGCAGAGAGAACAGCCTCAGTCACCATCGTCTCAGTTACATTTGGATGAAATCGGATATTATACAGGCAGTACTCAATGCTCTCTTTACTCCACCCGTGGAATAACGTCGAATTAAATACCAAAACTTTGTTCATTGCTTCCACAACAGTGTTAAGCAATTCCTCAGTATGCCTTGGGATCGCCGCATTTAACAGCCGGTCAAATTCACAGGCATAAACCATATTTGAAACAAGTAGTTGGATCCTCAAGCACAAGAGATCAATTTGGTACTGCTTTGTAGAGAAGGGTTTCAAAAAGAGGACGGACGACAAACATTTATAGAGAAGGGTTTCAAAAATATGTTGGACGACAAAAATTTATAGAGAAGGGTTTCAAAAAGACGATGGGCACAAAGCAAGCTTGCTTGGAGGAACTCGGTCTCAGACCTAAAAAGAAGCTGCTCCAGAAAATTGATCCGTTGCTTTAGGTTGCAATGCACTCCAAAGAGGTTTGTCATTCGACAATGATTTAAATGTAATACGTCGCGTTGGCAGCAGTGGAGATGAAGAGGAGGAAGATGATGAAGTTTCTTAAAGACAACGGACAACAAGCATTTGCAAGGAAGACGATGAGGAGGAGGAAGAGGATGAAGAGGATAGAAAGGGGGAGAGGTTGTAAAAAAAACACCTCCTTATCCTCCTCCTCCTCCAATAGTTGTGCACACTTTGTAACCACCGGACAACAATCTCTACTCTTCAACTGCGTCAACAGTGCTTGCTTCCTCCGGGTCCAGTAGACCAACAAAAGGAAGAGGACACCCAAAGGGGTTCTTCTTGAACGAAACAATGATTGTTTGCACATGTACCTCGTTCGGCGCACGAATCTCGAGGGGTGTCTGCCCTGTAGGTTCTCAGACGGTCTGTGCAAACGGTCTATGTGGAGACGAAAGGAGTTCTCTGATACCTTTTCAGAAGCAATCTCTTCTAACTCCTTCCACATACGTGCGAGCTCCTCAGACTCCTCATCTTCAGCGAGCTCCGCCGGCAAATGTAGATTTTGTTGAGCATTCCCTTTGCGTTTCGAGGACGTCGATGGCTTCGCCAAGATTTTCACTTTTTTCTTCTTAATCCCAGAACTTGTGTCTGCTGCGCCCACTGGTATGTGGTGGAGTCGTATGCGACGCTTCTGGCTTCCTCTTCGAACCCTCAGCAGTTGTCTTGGGCGTGTGAGCCCTCCGCCCAACACAGAAACTTTGTAATCACCGGACAACAATCTCTGCTCGTCAACTGCGTCAACAGTGCTTTGGAAACAAAGACCGCAGTCGATCCTGAGCTTCGCGTGTGTGCCCTTCGCCNCACCGGACAACAATCTCTGCTCGTCAACTGCGTCAACAGTGCTTTGGAAACAAAGACCGCAGTCGATCCTGAGCTTCGCGTGTGTGCCCTTCGCCCAACATAAAAACTTTGTAACCACCGGACAACAATCTCTGCTCGTCAACTGCGTCAAGAGCGCTTACTTCCTCCGGGTCGATTAGACCAACAAAAGGAAGAGGACACCCAAAATGGTTCTTCTTGAGCGAAACGATGATTGTTTGCATATGTACCTCGTTCGGTGCACGGATCTCGAGGGGTCTTTGGTCCTGCAGGTTCTCAGGCGGTCTGTGCAAACAGTCCATGCGGAGACGAAAGGAGTTCGCTAATATCTTTTTAGAAGCATCCTCATCTAACTCCTTCCACATACGTGCGAGCTCCTCAGACTTCTCATCTTCAGCGAGCTCCGCCGACAAATGCAGGTTTTGTTGAACATTCCCCTTGTGTTTCAAGGACGTCGATGGCTTCGCCAAGATCTTCACTTTTTTCTTCTTAATCCCAGAACTTGTGTCTGCTGCGCCCACTGATTGCGGTGGAGTGGTATGTGACGCTTCTCGCTTCCTCTTTGAACCCCCAGCAGGCATCGTGAAGAGATTTCTGACGAGGTGACCGAATTCCTGCACAAACCACACACAACATTTCCCTTAACATTGTAACTTTACAGTGTTAAGTCCTAAAACAGAAAACACATAGCCTGTGTACACAGTCAACGGTTGACAGAGTCCTCGAAACTGTGAACACAGAAGCCGCGTACACAGCGAACAGTTTGCAAACTTGGAAGTTTAAAGTCCTAAAAAATACAAACACAAAAGTTGTGCACACAGTGAACCGTTTGTAGACTTTGAGGTTTATAGTCCTATAACCTGCGAACACAGAAGGTGCGTACACAACGAACATTTTGCAAACTTTACAGTTTACAATCCTAAAGGCCATAGTTCAGTTGGTACACCTACGCGCTGTGAAAATGCTGATCGAATCATCAAGGGGGTCGGATCTCAACTTAAGGAGGGTCAAATTAATTTCGGGGTGCCAAGAATACCCTAGCGGTTAGCACCCACCGTTAGAGGGTTCCAAAAATTACAAAGGGGGTCGGATTGTCACTTAAGGGGGGTCAAATTAATTTCGGGGTGCCAAGAATGCCATTGCGGCTAGCACCCACCGCTAGAGGGGTCCAAAAATTAAAAAGGGGGTCCCATTCTCACTTAAGGGGGGTCAAATTAATTTTGGGGTGCCAAGAATGCCCTCGTGGTTAGGAGCCCCCAGGTCATTCTTCGCAGCCCAGGAGCCTAGGAGCTCTTGTTCCTAGCTCCCAGAGCTCTTGTCAAGGACAACAAGTTTGTTCCAGAGCCTACGGACATGCCTCAAGCGCCTTGGATTGAGATGGGTGCTAAGAATCGTTCAGACCAAAATTAGGAGCCACGTACACAGCGACCAGTTCGCAGACTTGGAAGTTTATAGTCCTATAAACTGCAAACATAGAAGTTGTGCACAGAGTGAACCGTTTGTAGACTTTGAGGTTTATAATCCTAAAACCAGCGAACACAAAATGGTTTACTGCTAACTGCTGTGGATTATAATTCAGCAGTTTGGAGGGCATCTGAGCCAAGGTTGTTTTCATCATGCCGGACAATGTTATATGCCGGCCGACTCGTTCCCTTAAAGCTAGCGTGACTACATAAATAAAAGTCGAAGTCAGTAGGATGACAGATCCCGTATTCTCTTGTCCTCCAGCTTCCTCCACTGCTTGACACGTTCAATGTGGTCCAACAAAGCAGTGGGCTTAGCCCGACGCCCGTCAACACTGTCGTTGAAAGATTCAAGAACATCCTTTGTGGTGTGCAAAGGATACAATTGTTCAACAGTTTTGAAGTCCTTGCACTTCACGACATCGCAGAAGGTCTTCGCGACATAACCAAACTTCTTGACGACTTTGAATTTCCTCTCCATTTCTTCGAGGGAGATCTGTTTAGAGATGACCGTTGTCAGAATAGGGACGAGCCCTTACGATGGCCGGAAGATTCTTGTGTTTTGCAGGGCCTTTGCCTTTCCAAGAGAAAGACTGCATATTATGCTCATTTGGCATCCCTCAGAGCGTTGTTTTATTTGGGCGACCTTTCGGAGGAGCGTCCAGCCTTGGAAGCGGAGAGGGAGCTGTAGGGAGACAACGGGCTAGGGGGGTGGATAAGGTGGACATTTTCCACCTTCAACTCCTTCCCCACGTCTGGCTACTGAAGCGGCAGCTAAGAGGGCGCTCAGTGCAAGGTTGGGGGCGATAACATTGGCAGAGAAGGGCCCCGCCGGAGCGAGCAGAGTGCTGAGGCCTGATTACGGCAAGGTGGGCGAACAGTGAAGCCCCGTATTCTTTTGTCCTTCAACTTCCTCTACTGCTTGGCACGTTCAATGTGGTCCAACAAAGCAGTGGGCTGAGCCCGACGCTTGTCAAAACTGCCGTTGAAAGGTTCAAGAACCTCCTTTGTGGTGTGCAAAGGATACAATTGTTCAACAGTTTTGAAGTCCTTGCACTTCACGCCATCGCAGAAGGTCTTCGCGACGTAGCCAAACTTCTTGACGACGTTGAGTTTCCTTTCTATTTCTTCGAGGGAGATCTGTTTGGAGATGACCTCTGTCAGAATAGGGATGAGCCCCTACGATGGCCGAAAGATTCTTGTGTTTTGTAGTGCCTCTGCCTTTCCAAGAGAAGGACTGCATATTATGCTCATTTGGCATCCTTCAGAGCGCTGTTTTATTTCGGCGACCTTTCGGAGGAGCGTCCAGCCTCGGAAGCGGAGAGGGAGATGTTGGAATGTCTTTTCAAAGGTGCAGAATATTGATGGGGACAAAAACGGATGGGGTATGATTAACAGTTACAAATGGAAGATTGTGGTGATCTCCTGTCCTCCTGTTGCAAGTGGTAGCCAGCAAACGCAAGCGGCACGTGCAATCTCGAAGCGGATGACAAAGCTTTGGGCGTGAAAAGCAAATAGAAAGAAATTGGTTCGCAAGTGGCAGGGGTAATGGAAGAATTGACATATTCGATCGGGGTACACTGCCACATATACTTGCAAGTGGAAGGGGTAACGGAAGAATTGACATATTCGATTCAGACAAGAGGTCCCTTGTCCGGAGCCTGGAGGAATCTGACTTGAGAGATGACGTGACCAGCATTGAATTTTTCTCTGCCACACCGTCGAACAAGTCACTTCTGGTCGCTGCAGGTGTTTGTCTAGCCACACTTCGGAGACACGAGGAATTGACACAACTCTGGTCACTACAKGTGTTTGCYTAGCCACACTTCGGAGACACGAGGAATTGATAATGTCCGCCTTTTTGCATCCCAAATTGCCATATCTCTTTAGTGCATCAAAGGATGGTGAAATAAAAATCTGGAGGCTGGACGCTCCTCTGAAAGGTCGCCCAAATGAAAYGGCSCCATATCTCTTTARTRCCAAATAAGCATAATATGCAGTCTTATTTGCCGTTTGGTGGTAATTAYCACCAGCAAGTGCATCATGTCCGCTYSCGAGACTGGACGCTCCTCTGAAAGGTCGCCYAAATAAAAASGCACTYTGAAGGATGCCAAATAAGMATAATATTCAGTCTTTCTCTTGGAATGGCAGAGRCCCTTAARGTCTCTGGTCCTGCAGGTTCTCAGGCGGTCTGTGCAAATAGTCCATGTGGAGAYGAAAGAAGTTCTCTGATACCTTTTTAGAAGCAATCTCTTCTAACTCCTTCCACGTACGTGCGAGCTCCTCAAACTCCTCATCTTSAGCGAGCTCTGCYGACAAATGYAGTTTTTGTTGAGCATTCCCCTTGTGTTTCAAGGACGTCGATKACTTGGCCAAGATCTTCACTTTTTTCTTCTTAATCCCAGAACTTGTGTCTGCTGCGCCCACTGGTTGCGGTGGAGTGGTCTGCGACGCTTCTGGCTACCTCACGGCGGTGCTTCGGGACAYTGACYGAGAACAGCCGAGGGAGAGGGTTTTCAAGGTCARAWTGAAGCWRGTCAATCAGCTCAATCTCGACCGACTTRAAAATCTGTATACAACRSARTATGAATTCGCASAAGAGTGCATCGAAATGCTTGWYATTGTCATGAGCGAAGCGGTTGSAACGAGGAACATASMGGTGGGTCGATCATATTTCAAGGAGGCGGGCAGTCAACCCCTTGGTGGCGGAGTCATGGTCTACARGGGGTTTTACCAGAGCATCAGACCRACCGACTTGGATCCAGCTCGACCCGGACGAGTTTCAGTTGCTCCGCCAGCATATTATGCTTCTTTGGCATCCTTYAGAGCGCCGTTTTATTTGGGCGACCTTTCAGAGGAGCGTCTAGCCTCGGAAGCGGAGAGGGAGCTGTTGGGAGACAGCGGGCTAGGAGGGTGGATCTGGTGGACCTCTTCCACCAGCAACTCCTCCCCCACGTCTGGCTACCGAAGCTGGCAACTAAGAGGGCGCTCAGTGCAAGGTTGGGGGCGATTACATTGGCAGAGAAGGGCCCCGCCAGAGCGAGCAGAGTGCTGAGGCCTGATTACGGCAAGGTTAGCGAACGATNCAGTGCAAGGTTGGGGGCGATTACATTGGCAGAGAAGGGCCCCGCCAGAGCGAGCAGAGTGCTGAGGCCTGATTACGGCAAGGTTAGCGAACGATAGAGCCCCGTATTCTCTTGTCCTCCAGCTTCCTCCACTGCTTGGCACGTTCAATGTGGTCCAACAAAGCAGTGGGTTTAGCCCCGTGCCTGTCAAAACTGCGGTTGAAAGGTTCAAGAACCTCCTTTGTGGTGTGCAAAGGATACAATTGTTCAGCAGTTTTGAAGTCCTTGCACTTCACGCAATCGTAAAAGGTCTTCGCGACGTAGCCAAATTTCTTGACGACTTTGAATTTCCTCTCCATTTCTTCGAGGGACATCTGTTTGGAGATGACCGTTGTCAGAATAGGGACGAGCCCCTACGATGGCCGGAAGATTCTTGTGTTTTGCAGGTCCTCTGCCTTTCCAAGAGAAAGACTGCATATTATTCTCATTTAGCATCCCTCAGAGCGCTGTTTTATTTGGGCGACCTTTCGGAGGAGCGTCCAGCCTCGGAAGCGGAGAGGGAGCTGTTAGGAGACAACAGGCTAGGGGGGTGGATAAGGTGGACATCTTCCACCTGCAACTCCTCCCCCACGTCTGGCTACCGAAACGGTAGCTAAGAGGGCGCTCAGTGCAAGGTTGGGGGCGATTACGTTGGCAGAGAAAGGCCCCGCCGGAGAGAGAAGAGTGTTGAGGCCTGATTACGGCAAGGTTGGCGAACGGTGAAGCCCCGTATTCTTTTGTCCTCCAACATCCTCCACTGCTTGGCACGTTCAATGTGGTCCAACAAAGCAGTGGGCTTAGCCCGACGCTTGTCAAAACTGCCGTTGAAAGGTTCAAGAACCTCCTTTGTGGTGTGCAAATGATACAATTGTTCAACAGTTTTGAAGTCCTTGCACCTCACGCCATCGCAGAAGGTCTTCGCGACGTAGCCAAACTTCTTGACGACCTTGAATTTCCTCTCCATTTCTTCGAGGGAGATCTGTTTGGAGATGACCTCTGTCAGA